TTATAATTCTAGGTTTATTGTGACCTTATTTGAAGATGATAATATTATAGCAACCATGCTCCACCCTTTTTTTAAACTTGATTGGATATGGTTGCAAATGGAAGAAAAATAAAAAAAACAATTGATACATAGATAAGCTGGTGAATTATCAAAGTCATCAACTGACTGCAAGCAAATAACCTGCCAAAAAAAACAAATAATTTAATTTCAGATTTTTTTCAGTATCCTACAGCAGATATAATTTCTAATAATGATTTAAATTTTGATAATCAACAAATTTTAAATAATTTTTTCAAAAATGAATGTAGAGATTTTAGCATTTTTAAAGAATACCCTGATATAAAATTGTTATTTATTAGATATAACACTACAATTCCTTCAAGCGCCCCTGTGGAAAGACTATTTAGTGTTGCTAAAAATGTCTTTACAGATAAACGAGGATGCCTAAATGATCAAAATTTTGAAAATATTTTATTACTGAAATCCAGAGTTGTTAAAAGATACTTTTTAAATGGATCTAGATACAGACACATCGTCTAAAAAATATCTAGATACCGATATTTTAATCAAAAATCTGTCTAGATACATATACAGATACCACATTTTTATATATCTAGATACTTGTATCTAGATCTTTTAACAACTCTGCTGAAATCTAATAATTATTTATAATTATTTAATCATATATTTTCATATATTATATTAAAATCATTATTTTAGTTATATTCTGATATATGTTATATCGCGTCAATAAATTTTTTAGCTCATTTCATGAATTTTCAGAATATAATATTAATTTAGCTTTATGCAAACCTATAATAGCATAATAAAAAATGTATTGATAACTTTTTAGACGCTGTATCTGTATCTAGATAATTTTTGAGACTATGTATCTGTATCTAGATCCATTTTAAAAGTATCTTTTAACAACTCTATTAATTAATAATAGTAATGTAGGAAAATCTCCTTTTTTAAAAAAAATTTATTTTTAAAATGGAATTCGAAATTAAAATCAAAAAATATATGAAAATTTTTTGATATTTTTTATTTTTTTAAAAAAAATTATATTTGGTCAAAATCACGAAAATGTAAAAAATAATTTAAGAATTATAAGAATATTTAAAAAATAATTTTGTTCATAAAAATATTTGGCAAAAAATTTAGATAATGTAAAAAAAAAATATAGAAAATGTAAAAAAATATTCTATATTAATAAAAACTTCCAGTTTTTTAAATATTTATAATTAAAAAATTTAAAAATGCAGATGCCGGATTATATTTTTCCATTTATTTAGCACATTAATCTACTAAGTTATTTTATCAATTAATTTCGATTTCAAGTTTTCCTAGGCATAATTTACCTATATTTTCAAATTTTAGTATCGTATTATTTATCTAAATTTCTAGTCAAATAATAATCCAACAGGGAGAAAGAAATTGCATGTCCAACAAGATCGAGTCTCCGCCATCAAGCAGTAACAGCTTTTATGGAGTTAGAAGAGCCGATTATTAATGCTATTACTGAAATATCACAATGAGTTGAAAGAAATATTTCCTCATAAGCAAAAAAATTGGATTCAATACTTACTCCAAATTTTTTTTCTCATTAGAATGTTTATTTATTTATACAATTATTTTATGTAATACTTTTCAAAAACATGACATGACTTGATGAAGCAGATGAGAATAGCGGAGAGCATTTTATTAGAACTCAAGCAAATTAGAGCTAATGATGATGAAGAATTTTATATGTTATTGTTGTGTTTAATATTTGTCCCCCTCTACTTGCAGTAAGCAAGCTCATCGTCAAATTAATATTGGATCAGTAGAAGAGTATTATAAAACAAATGTCCCATCTCTTAGACACATTTATAATCCAAATAAATGAATAGTTTTGAATTCATCATGCAGCACTTACGTAGATATAACTTCCACAAAAGCCTTTCCAACCTTTTTCAGATTGTGATAGAAAAAAATAATATATATTTGTTAGATTTTTATCATGAAGATGTTAAAATATCTTATGATGCCTTATTAGCTGAATAACTATGATTAAAAAATTAACTATGGTTGATACAGTCCCAAAAAAATGCTATGGATGCTTTGCATTATTTCAAACACATTTTAGATTATATTCCCAATGTATTAAAATGGTTATGTATATATTAGCAACTCTTCCCAGTAAACTAATGAGAGAACATTCTCTTTTTTAAGAAGAATAACAGAACCCTGCAGAGTACCATTTGCAGGACAAGGCCCATATTTTTTTTAAAAAATTTTGAGGCCCGGCCCGATTTTTTTGAAAATGAAATTTTCAGGCTCCTGGATTTTTTAAAAATAAATTATAATTATTTTTGATTTTTATAGCTAATAATGGCGATTTCAAATATTAGGTTTAATAATATATAACTCGGCCCGTATATTTTTTTTAAAAAAATTTTCAGGCTCAGCCCGGATGTTTTTTGAAAAAAATTTTCATGCTCGGCCCGGGTATGTTTAAAAAAATTAAAATACTGTCTGGGTCGGGGGCCGGGCCTGCAGGTCTCTGAAAAACATACCTATGAAATACAACTTATGAAAGTATATTGAATGATTTGGATCTTTTGAATATTCATAGGTATTTAACGCCAAGCAAGGATAGATAATTGAAAAATTAGTTCAAAACGTACAAAATACAATTATTCCTAAGTTTTTGTGTATTAATTTATATTTCCAACATTTAAATTTTTTGTACTTTATATATTTTAAAGGCTCAAAAAATTAAAATTTCAATTTTGGGTCATTTAAGTGATTCAAATCGTGGTTATATTCACTTTATATTTTATAATTCACATTATTTTATAGTTTTTCAATGCCGGTTTATATATATAATTTGTAATTCACTTTAATTTAAAATTGTGTATGAGAAAAGTTATAGTCCTAATAAATTTATGCTTAGTATTTTTAATTATCAATAATATTTCTTATCCCCCCACCCCCAGACCAAATTCTTGCGTACGCGCCTGTCTAATATCGATATATAATATTTAATATAAAAATAAATATATTCTTAATTAATTATAAATGTTTTTGTAAAAAGTTTTAAGAAAATTTAGAAATTTATATATATTTAAAATATCCTGAAAATTTGCAATTTAATGATTGTATAATGGATAAAATATATAAATTTCTATATTTTTTTAAAAAATTTTACTAAAATATTTCTAATTAATCAACAAAAAAAAATTTTTAAACAATATTAAATTTAGTAAAATACATCATTAAATTGCGAATTTCATGGTGATTCCGAATAGTGATCTGCATTGAGCCTAATTTTTCAAACTCGGCCCGAAATTTTTTTAAAAACGTTTTGCCGGTCCTGCTCGAACCCGAATTTTTTTTTAAAAAAAATTACCGACCTGATTATTTAAATATAGAAATTATTCAAAATAAAAGATATATGTTATATGGCGACTAGTTTCAATAAATAAAATCAAATATTTTTACTTTACATTAAAAATTTAACATAAAATTGATAAATTTATATATATTTTAAAAAAATTGGGCCTACTTTTGCAGATCTCTAATTCGAATATATAAATTTATATATATATATTTTTTAAATTTTACAAAAAAAATTTTACATATCGATATATAATTTAATGAGAGTTCTAAATAAATTTATTAATTAATTAATGATGCTCAATTATTAGATAAAGCAGAATAAATAATTTGTATCCTAATTCAATCTAGAAAACGCTTTCTATCAAAAAAAAATATAGAAAATATTTTGCCAAAATCAGGTAAATGCGAAAAAATAATATTGTTGATAAACCTCCAGTTTCTGAGCAATGTAATAAATTATATTTAATAAAATCATCATAATAACAATTATTGGTATCCCGTCTTTACAGAGAATCTTTTATAGAGAATGCAAATATAGAGAAACCTTTATAGAGAAAACAATTGTAGAGAATGTCGTTTATAAAGAATATCGTTTATAGAGAATGATTTTATAGAGAATTTATTTTATAGAGAAACTTTTAAAGAGAAAACAATTATAGGGAATGTCGTTTATAGAGAATCTCATTTATAGAGAATGATTTTGTAGAGAATCTCGTTTACAGAGAATGATTTTGTAGAGAATCTCGTTTATAGAGAATGATTTTATAGAGAATTTATTTTATAGAGAAACTTTTAAAGAGAAAACAATTATAGAGAATGTCGTTTATAGAGAATCTCATTTACAGAGAATGATTTTATAGAGAATCTCTTTTATAGAGAATGATTTTATAGAGAATATTTTTGCAGAGAATTGTTTTACAGAGAATTATTTTACAGAGAATTATTTTACAGAGAATTGTTTTAGTGCGAATTATTTTATAGGGAAGGATTAATAATTTTATATTGAAGACAGAGAATGATTTTATAGAAAATGAATTATTTTAGAAATAAATTTTCTCAAATATGACCATTTACCGTCTAATTCTTTTTTTTGGCACTTATTAAATCAGATTTAATCTAATATAATTTATTAAAAATATATTTAAGGATATTTATTTGGAAAATCTACTCAATAAGAAGCTAAGGATATTTAATCTGGAAAATCTACTCAATAAGAGGCTAAGGATATTTAATCTGGAAAATCTACTCAATAAGAGGCTTTGAGTTTTATTTAATTACAATGTAGAATATTTTATTATTATATATATTTGATGCGAAATATCAAATACATTTAGAAAAGGAAAACATCAAGCTTAAAAAAAATTTCCAAAAAAGCAATGTCCTACACCTTCACTTGGAAAGCAATAAGATAAGTTAGAAAAATTAAGTTATTCACAAAAATAAATAATTACTAAGTTAGTAATAATCTTAATAACTTAACATTTTATTGCATAAATTCTTTATTCAAATTTTTTCGATCAAATAAAATTAATTCAAAATAGTTCCATAATCCAAAATATATAATTTTTATTCATAACAAATGCATATATACATTATAAATATAAATTTAATTATATAATTTAAAAATATAATTTAAACATTTAAATTAATATTGTGAGACAATGCCCTTAGGTAATCTAACATGGGCCTTGAATAGTAATCTTCGACTATTCTATATACCCGTTGAGCTCTTTCCCGATATTGTTTCTTTGAGAGTGGGGCCAATAGTCCCAAAGAATATTGCTCTAATTTATAGCAATTAAGGCTATCTTCATCTTTGAGAGCTAAAAATTAAATAAGATTTTTAAAATATTTTAATATAATATATATTTCATACTTTTGATAAATTTCCAAATGGTTGGATGATGGGAACTTATATGGGAAGAAAAACTCCGGTGCCAACCTTCTACTGCATTGTTGGTATTTGGAGCTCGCAACAGAGTGGAATCATAGCAATTCCATAATGAAATACTAAACAATGGGGATCTCCTCTCCATTGCTATCATTTTGCCTATCCATGTCTCCTCGAAGTATTCTATCAAAGGTTGGAGAATATCCCGCCTTTCTTGATAGAATTCGGAACCAACCAGCACCTCGAATCCATGGATTATGTCATCCACTGGCACATATGCCAGTGATAATAACATCTTAATTTGTAAAGCAAAATTAGGCTCTGTCATATATGACATACAAATTATTGAATTTTTTTGAACGGCACGCCATATGCATTGAGACATGTGGAAGAAACATCCACGGTTATCAGCCAACGGAAAAGATTGGTTGAAAGCTGATATGGCTGCCAATTCAAAGTCTGTCATTATAGACCTAGGATCAAGATGAATTTCAAAATTTTTAATTTTTTCGAAAATATTTAAATAATCTTGATGGCGACGCGACGCCATAAGGATATAAACGGCAGAAATAATCGTGTCGTATTTCATCCCATGGATGGTATAGATTTGTTGAAAGAGTGGAGGGCATGTTTTGAAGGTGCCATCTGCGTACCATTTGTCGCACGTTGATAGGAACTGTATATTTTTCACTGTTGAAAATATTAGGCATCGATGATCATGGTGACCGCTATCATATAATAAAAATTGTTGCCCGTTATTATTTATTTGATATTCAATAGGGATTATTAGGTCAATTAAATTAACAGGAACAGTAGGCGCCCTTCCTACTAGGCGTCGTTTTCTTTGAATTGTTCTTTTGAGTAAGGAACAACTTGGCATTCTCCCCATAGCTGCTGTAGATATATTGGTTGTTATATCCGCTATTATATTATTGGGTAGAGTTTGCGAGGTAGTTGCCTTTTCCTTTATTTGATTTATTTCTTTCCTTGCTTCAATTTCGGCAATGTCTGGAACATGATTATGCATTTGATTATGAAATATAACTCCAGATTTTGTCCTTGCCCTTCCATTGCACTCCTCCAAGTGGAATTTAACACAACGCCAATAACTTGTATCGTTAATAAGCTTTTCTCGTTGAAATATAAATGATTCAAAAATTAGTAATTGATTGTTTTGACTGCTTAAAATAAATTCAGCCATTAAAATTTATAAGTTCTTTAAAAAAAATTTAGATTTCAAAATTAATGATAATTTTTCTTAAATCCTATTATATATAAAATAAAACTTAAATAATTGTAAGTTTAAACTTTTATTATAATTTTTATTTATTTGTATTTTCATAGAGCAAATCTCAATCAAATATAAATTTTTTTTATTTCCATTTAATTTTTAGATTTTTTTTTCTCAACAAGAATTATATTTGTCCATATTTTCTATGTTTTATATTTTTACATAAAAAAAAACAAGACAGACGCCGTCATATAAATTCTCGGAACCCTTGAATAAAAAAATAGTAAAAAATAATCTTAAAAAAAATTATTCACGTTCCTGATTTGCAATTGCTTATGAATAATTATGATAATATTTTTAAGTTTCCTGTTGTTATTTTTTTTAAAATACGCTGAACAATTAGAAGTAGTAATGTTAAAATTATGAAAATATTCCCTTCTTTATCGCCTCTTATTGAGTAGATTTTCCAGATTTAATATCCTTAGCCTCTTATTGAGTAGATTTTCCAGATTAAATATCCTTAGCCTCTTATTGAGTAGATTTTCCAAATAAATATCCTTAAATATATTTCGGGTGTATAGAATAGTCGAAGATTACTATTCAAGGCCCATGTTAGATTACCTAAGGGCATTGTCTCACAATATTAATTTAAATGTTTAAATTATATTTTTAAATTATATAATTAAATTTATATTTATATACAATGTATATATGCATTAGTTTCTATTAGTGCTTTGCTTTAACTAGTAGAGTAGCAATTTTTAAAAAAAACTATTAGCAACAAAGCCAGCCTTACGCCAATTTTTTTAGAAAATTTTGTCAATATTTAGTTGCTTTGTGCATTATTTTAATCTGCATGGCCGGCCCCGATTTTTTAAAAATATATTATATATTTTTGCCTAGATAATAATGGTGATTTAAAATATTTGATTTTAAAATATATGGCCTGGCCCGGGTTTTTTAAAAAAAAGCTTTTTTGACCCGGCCCGTGCATTTAAAAAAATAAAATTTTAGGCTCGGCCCGGGTATATTTAAAAAAAATTAAAATACAGCCCAGTCCGTGTATCCGGGCCGGATTTAAAGGGCCTGTAGGTCTCTGATTTATAGTGCGCGTTTCTAATTTCCCTGATAAATCTGATTTTACCAAATCTATTCCGAAGAGAATCTACCCTGGGAATTTCATACGATTTCGCCAAAATTTTTTGTATTTAATAATTTATAATGAAAATCTATATAATTTTGTAAAAATTAAGGTAAGGGCGATAGTTTGATGGGTATTTTGTTCTATTTTTTGCATTTTATTGAGCGCGTTTTATTAAATTTTAAATCTGATTTTGCCGAAAATGCATTCCAATATGTGTAGAATACCCACCCTATAAATTTCAGAAGATTTTATATTGAACTTCTGAAGAAATTTTAATTTACATTAATCTGAAATTTATAAGTAATGTTAGTAGCCTAAAAATCAGCTAAACCTAATTTGGCTTAACCGAAAAATCGCCTAAAATTAATTAGACAAAATGTAGGGACTGGGAGCTAGGCTAATCGCCCGTCTGCGTTATGCAACACTAAGCCTAGCCTTTATTAAAATTATTTTATAAATTTATTATGTAACGATATATGACGAGTGATTAACCGAGCTCCTTAGCCGATGCCTAATTTTTGACTATTCGTTTTCGCCTATTTTTATGTTAAGCCTAATTATGCTTAGCCGATTTTTTGGCCTAAAAACTTGGCTAACCGTTTTGGAATTGCCTAAAATTAACCGATTGCGCAACATTAAGGGTGGGTATGTTACACTTATTCAGGTGCATTTCTTGCAAAATCAGATTTTAAATTTAAAAAACGCACTCAATTAATGATATTAAATGCAAATAACAACAAAAAATAAAACAATACCCATCAAACTATCGCCTTACCAAAATTAAGTTAAGATCACTAGAGTACTGTCTAGTATTCACATGGTAGGAGGGAACACTAGGGGGTGGTTGGATCAGTGGCGTAGCTAGGAATTTTCCTTAGAGGGGGTCCATACATATAAAAGCTGGGGGGCGGCCGGGTTTATCTTATAAATCATAATCATATCTTCGATAATATATAATAAATATATTTTTTAAATGCATCAATAATATGTTATATTATAATTTAGTAGATTATTCTCAATGACTTTATAATAATACTATCCAGAATAATTTCAATAGTAATATAATATCCTTCCACAAACATCAAAACAGAAAAATATAATTCATATAAAATCACTTTTAAGTCTTTTGAACGTATAATCTAAAAATAATTTTTGCTCTGGGAGGGGTCCAAACTCGAAAACCACCCCCGTAGCTACGCCACTGGGTTGGATCAATTTCTGTCGAAATCATCATAGGTCACAAAATAGTTGTATCTGAATTTACAAAATACAAAATGATAGTTCAAACTCTTACCTAAAAATTATACATCGACAAAATTTAAAATAATACACCTTTTTCTCTAAATTGATTTTAGTAAAATGAAAATTCTTATTACAAGCCGTAAACTCCTTATCAGTTTAGAGAAAGATTAATCAAAAAGTTTAAAATGTTTTTTATAGGGTTTTTGCACTTGTTAAACATAACGGAATTCCAAATACAAACTACCCCTTTTAATTTCAATGTCTAACTTGAATTATAACCCCTTACCCTGTGGTAAAAGGTCCTGTTTAACATTGTTTGAATGGTTAAGTGTCCTTTTATTATTGGTAGATAGATCTGGTTATAAGCAAGTATAATTATCATTAATATTTAAATTTCTTCGTATCATTAGGACTAATTATTTATTCAAACTTTTCTGTTGAAAGGGGGGGGTGGGTGTTTTTTTCAAATCCTGCATAAAATTTTTGAACTCTATAATTGTCCCATATATAATATTTCTCTATAAAATCAAGATCTACAAATAATTCTCTACAAAATAATTCTCTACAATGTAATTTTCTACAATATAATTCTCCACAAAATAATTCTCTATAAAAGTAATTCTCTTTAAAATCATTCTCTATAAACAACATTCTCTATAAAATCATTCTCTTTGAAGTCATTCTCTATAAAGGACATTCTCTATAAAATAATTCTCTTTAAAATCATTCTCTATAAATTGCATTCTCTATAAAACCATTCTCTATAAACGGCATTCTCTATAAAACCATTCTCTATAAACGGCATTCTCTATAAAATCATTCTCTTTAAAGTCATTCTCTATAAAGGACATTCTCTATAAAATAATTCTCTTTAAAATCATTCTCTATAAATTACATTCTCTATAAAACAATTCTCTATAAATGCATTCTCTATAATTGTTTTCTCTATAAATGTTTCTCTATAAAATACATTCTCTATAATGGTTTCTCTATAAAGACGTGGAACCACAATTATTATACCAATAGCTCAACGATATTTTTTTTGTTTATTTTAATTTGAAAAAAAAAATTTTTTTATTGAGGAAATTGTTAATTCATGATAAAATATTTTTTTCTCCAATCTCCCTCAATTAATTTATCATTTATATATTAAATTTTTATTATCATTCATTATTATATTATTGATTAAATTTGATCGGCCGCCGACTTTTTAGGTTACACCCACCGTTTACCAAAATCACTTTATTTTATTTTATACAATCTTTATTCTATTAATTGGTCAACAACACTGTTATATTTTTTTTTATAAGTCAATCAGGATTTTGATGAACTCTTATTTTAAAAATCAAAATTATTTTGACGTCATTTTAGAATTCAATCAATCAAAAATCTAAGATTCAAAAGTTTCCTTAATTTTTCACATTTTTAAAATGAATGCATCCACATTTAATAAATCCACGAATAATTTTGGTATTATAAGAGTCGATACTTTTTTATAAAGAGATAATAAAACATGGTATTAAAAAGGGTGCTCTTTGTTGAAAATCTGAAAAAATTAGAAAAATTTATTACTTCTCTAAAATATAAAACTGCAGAGGTTGAATTTGAATTCGAGGCAGATCAAAGAAGATGCCTTGGTACAATAGATCTAATATCGGACATATTAGATCTTGATGGCAATGTTACACATGCTGATACCCTTTTTCCAAATTGGCATTTCCAATGATAATAATAGCAATAATAACAAGCATATGAAAATCTTAAAATTAAATGTATTAACCAGGTGGTATAGTATATTAATTATGCTAGAAAGCATATCTTGATAAAATAAGAATGTAATTAATAATATATTGAAAAGAATTGGAAAACACTTTATCAAATTATCAAACTATGAATCTAATCTGGTAGAGCTATTAGCATTTCTTTCAAAATTTAACGAAACTGTCTAATTTCTTTCAGCATAAAAAGGCCCTATATTAAACTTAGCATTACTTATTAGAAGTGGAATTGAAACACATAGTAGGGGAGACCGGGGTAAAGCGATTGACGGGGTAACAATGTTAATGCGAATAACTTTTTAACCATTGAGTATAAAGACCTTAAATTTGGTGTGAAGATGTATTTTTATATCTAATTTCTTACCTATGTTCATCTTTTAAAAAACTTACCTGGTTTTATATATTTTGTCACAAAACTGTTTTTTACCCAAAAAATATAAAAATCAATCTCTAGTATATTTTGCTTTTAGTAAAATTTACATATCCTCAGGATTCAAAATTTGGCACACATGTTCCTTAATGTATTAACTATAAAATAAAATTTATCTGACATCTTTAGCTATATTAGAAGTCACGCAATAACGATATATATAATATATGTCACCTAGGGGTAAAGCTGTTATGGGTAAAACGGTTAAAATATAAATTATTCACATTAAATTTTTCATTCATTCATTTATTATAATCAAATAAATATTGATATTTAATATTAAAGTTACCAATTGAGCATTATTAAAATTATGAAATTAATTCAATTTATTTAATTAATTATATATCATTTTAACTCTATGGAACTGGTATTGTTAATTATTAAAATGAAATAGTTTTATTTTATAAATAAACAAGATAAGAGGATTTGCATATCAGCTTGCTAAAGAATATGGCAAATCTTTCCCAGAAAGCTGGACAACTAATGGTATGGCTGGAGAGAACTGGTTTATGGGGTTTAGAAAACGACATTCCCAACTTTCGATTCGTACCCCTGAAGCTACTAGTCTAGCAAGAGCATATGGCTTCAATCCACAAATGTCAATAAATTTTTTGAAAATTTAATTAAGCTATATAATTCTTATAACTTTGAACCACATAATATATGGAATGCAGATGAAAGTGGTTTCACCACCGTTCAAACTCCTGCAAAAATTATAGCACAGAAGGGTGCCAAACAAGTCGGCTCTATAACGTCAGGAGAAAGAGGAACGTTAGTTACAATATGTTTAGCCATCAATGCTATAGGCCATAGCATTCCACCATTTTTTATTTTTCCAAGAAAACGATACAAAGATCACTTTATTCGTGATGGGCCTATTGGATCTAAGGGTGTGGGAAACACATCGGGTTGCATGTAAGAGGAGGAATTTTTATCTTTTTTGGAACACTTTAAAAAATATTCTAGTGCATCCAATGAGAAAAATGTCTTATTAATCTTAGATAACCATAGCTCTCATTGTTCAATTTCCGTTATAAACTATTGTCGCTCCAATGGGATTGTTATTCTAACACTTCCACCACATTGCTCGCATAAACTCCAACCATTAGACAAAGCAGTTTATGGGCCATTGAAAAAGTTTTATAATGGAGCTATTGACACATGGATGAGAAATCATGTGGGGCAACAATTTCAGATTTATGATATTCCAGGAGTGTTAAAAAATGAAATACCAAGGGCAGTGACACCAAATAATATATTAAATGGGTTCTTAGCATGTGGCATATTTCCTTTAAACCCAAATATATTTACAGAACAAGATTATATCTGCTGTAATAATTCAAATGCTAGCTCAAATATTTAATTTGAAAATAATGATGAAAATATTACAGTGACTCAAAATCTTACAGTGACTCAAAATAATGATAGTGATTTATCTATATTATTGAACGAAAATGTTCCAGATGATATTGATGAACCCTATCATGATATGTTACCATCATGCTCAAAAAATTATAATAAAGTATTCAATCCTTCATCTTTAATACCTATTCCAAAATTATTCAATATTTCATCGGATAAAATATCTAAAAAAAAGAATTCAGAAATATTAACATCTACACCTTATAAAAAAAAATTATTAATTCAGAGAAAAAAAAGATATCAAAAAATAATTGTTTATGTGTTATTTGTAATAAAAACTATAAAAATAGTCGCGAGGGCGATGAATGGCTAAAATGTACAATGTGCCTTGAATGGGCACATTCTAAATGTGCTAATTATGATAATTATTTTACATGTCCTTATTGTATCGATTAGTTTTTAAATAAAAATCATAAATAAATCTTAAATTTGTAATATTTGTTAAATAAAACAATAAATATGTGTCAAATATTATTTTAACCACTTTACCCTAGTGCTTATCCATTTTACCCTGTACCCAGGGTAAAATGGCGAAAATGAGTAGTTTTACATAACAAATCATAGCTCCTAAAATATTATAGATAGAGGGCTACACTTTTTTTTATCTTGTAGAAGAGGGATGGGGCTACACATTGATCTATAATTTGTTGTGTTTGACTCTTGTTTAAAATTTTTATGGTAAATATGCAAAATGCCTATCGTTTTACCCCGGTCTCCCCTAAATGATAATGATAGTTCAAAAATAATTTTTCTTAAGGAAAATATGCAAAAAAACATGTTACTATTTCCTTTTTGTGATCTGCAAGTAATAATATATAAGTATGATGTTCATTTATTTAATTAATTTATTTTAAAAAAATTAGTTAGATGTTGGCCTCCCTTTTAGATCCAAGATTTCAAAAAATGAAAATTGTGTCAATGTACATAAAAAAGCAAAATTGCTCAGCTTCGTAATTTATTAACTTATAGAGGATGATTATTTTCAGTAAATTATTAAATTTATTTGACAAAATTGGCAAAACGTCATTCACGAGATATGTATTTCTAAATTTCTGGATAGAAAAAAAAAATGAAGTTCCTGATTTTCCAAGCTCTCCAAATTTCTGTCAACTAGCACACCCAGTGGAAGGAATTTTTTCTACTGCTAGATTGACGTTGAATTCAAGAAGTTCATCATTTTGTTCTGAAAATTAAAATACAATTATTTTTATACATGATAATTAGAAAATTGTGAAAACGATTTTTGGATTTGTAATGTGTTTTCTCTTAAATAAAGAATAAAAAATATGCCGTGATATCTGTAGTGTATATTATATTTTTTAAAAATAAATTTCGTCGGTGCTCAGGTATAATTATATTTTAAAATATAATACAATGAAAACAACATTACTTGTTAAAAAAAGATAAAAGAATATAATTACTTTTTCTTCCCTTTTTTGCGGCTGGCACCATATAATCAAAAGGCCAAGGATTTAAAAAGAGAATTTAAAAAGTATAAAATTAAGACATATAATAAATGAAAAGGGATGAGGTTAAGACATTTTTGTTAAAAAATTAAAATATATTACCTTTTCTTCTCTTTTTGCGGCTGGCACCATATAATTAAAAGGCCAAAATAAGGGATTTAAAAAGATAATTTAAAAAAAGAAGTAAATAGTATAAAATTAAGGCATATGATGAATGGAAAGGGATGAGGTTAAGATTTTTTTGTTAAAAAATATTTATAAATATATTTATAAAAAATCCGAATTATTGCAACAATTTTCGTTGAATATTTAAGCAGGACCCCTAACCGTTATTTATAACGGTTCAGTATGTAAAAAATTATAATGGTTACGTTTTGGTTACGGTTTTTGAAAAGAAATTTATAAATAGTCCCGAAAAAGCCCTTTCCATAGAAACTTGTGTTGCGGGAGCCGACAGTACTATAAGAGCACGTTTATATAATTCTGGATATCCAAATTATTTCCATTTCTAAAATATAAAAACTGAACCGGTTTAAACCGGTTTAACTGTTTTTTATAATGGTTAATTATACTCGGTTACGGTTATTGTTCAGATATTTATAACAAAAATAAATTTTTTAAAAAAAAATATTTAAGGGGATTCAAGAATTAAATTATATTTTTTTGCCGCCTGGCTGGCACCATAAAATTTTATTTTTTTAGAGATATTTAATATGTATTATATTTATTATGTATTACTTTTATGCTTTAAATCTTTAAATACTCGAAAAAATGGTTTTAATAGTAAAAAAAAATAAATGTAAGGCTTTTGAAATTAGGATCTAGAAATAAGCCTACCTTAAGTGCTTAAGAATAAATTTTATAGTTTAAGTAAAAAATCTCGCGACAAAACATCTAAACATAAAAAGAAAATAGAACTAGGAGCGTGACACCGGATGTTGATTATAAAATGCTGGAATATTTTTTATTTTTAAAAATTTTTCTTTTTTTAAAAAGAGATAAATTAAATTAGAAAATATGTATTTTAATTATAAAATTGCAAATTTATATTTTAAAAAAATATAAAAATTTCCGTGATTCGCGGGAAATTCATGTTCACGCTCGATCACGCCCGGGAAAAATTTTGGGAAGGCCCGTCACTTCTAATAATTTAAAATTTATTCACACTGCCTCCGTGACCCACCGTTACACAATAAGTCAAGTGTAATTTCACGACCCGCGCCCACCTCTAATCAATATTTAATTGTTTAGATAAATTTTTTTTCATTTATAAAATGGTCAAATTATTATTCATGGTATTAAGAAGTCTTGGCAGTATATGAGGTAGTAAGAATTTATCATCTCTTATATTATGCCATGTTCAATTATTAAATAAGCATTTGTATTATTTTGGTTAATATTTTTAGGCATATTTTGAAATTGGTAAAATAATTTTATGACAAGAAATCAACCTAATTTGCCTAACATCGACCAAAATTTATTAAAATGTAATAAGACCCCCCATTAATTATTTAATTTAATATGTATACGGAATCACGAGGTCGAGTCCTATATCATAAACCAGAAATCACTTGGTTGTGGAAGTAAAACAATAAAAGAATTAAATTAATTGTTTTTTAAAATTCAAATTTTTAGAAGCAGTTGCTTCGGACCCTCAAAGTTGTAGGGGACACTGGTCCCCCGAATCGATATTTATAACGGTTCAGTTTGGTTATGATTCAGTATGTAAAAAATTATAATGGTACGTTTTGGTTAAGGTTCTTGAGAAGAAATTTATAAAGGTTCGGTTCAACTTATTCATGTAAAGATTTTATATAAATTTATATAAATAAAAGTGTCTTCTTAACCTTATCCCTTTTCATTCATTAGAGGAGACCTGGGTCTTGTCGAGCCCTAAAAAGCAAACCTTATTAAAATTAAAAGTACTTTATCATTTTTTATAGCAAATATCTCATTCTGTTCCACTCTATTAGTTTTATAGTCGTTTTAAATTTCAAAAATATATATCTAATACTTTTTTCAAATTCGGATTTTTTATAAATATATATTAATATTTTTTAAAACAAAAAAGTCTTAACCTCATCCCTTTTCATTTATTATATGCCTTAATTTTATACTATTTACTTTTTTTGTAAATTATCTTTTTAAATCCCTTAATTTGGCCTTTTAATTATATGGTGCCAGCATCAAAATAGGGAAGAAAAAGAAATTACATTCTTTTATTATTTTTTTTCATGGGGATTTGGAATATTAAAAAAAAGATCCCGAATAAAACGTGGGGATTCCGAATCCCACATAATTCCATGTCCCAACCAGGGTTGCCAGGTCAAAATTTTCAAATTGTGGGAGAAATTCGGTATTTTGTGGGAGTAATATAAAAATTGTGGGAGAAATATGAAAATTGCTAAAAAAAAAAATTTGCGGGCCATTTTTCAAAATAAAATAGCCAACTATTTTTCAAGATAAAATAGCCAACTATTTTTCAAGATAAAATAGCCAACTATTTTTCAAGATAAAATAGCCAACTATTTTTCAAAATAAAATATCCAACTCTTTTTCAAAATAAAATAGGTAACTATTTTCCAAAATAAAATACGCAACTATTTTTCAAAATAGGTAATTATAGTACGACACAAAATTTCTTAAATACTATCTTTATTATTAAAATAACATATTGATTTATTATAATATATTAATTTTGTTTTAAAATAATAACCAACGATCTTTTTTAAATACAAAAGAATGTAAACAAGATAAAATTTTATAAAAAAATTGTAATTTTACAATGTAAAAAAATATATTTTATGCTAATGTATAAATAAGATTTTATAAAAAAACAAACAATTTTAAATTTACAATGTAAAAAATATTAATAATCAGTGCGGGGAAGTTGTTCTACAGTATTTAGTTAATACAATGGGGGAATGGAATATGATATTTTGAGGCATCAAAAATCTTCAAAGCATAAATCAGTACAGGACAGTCTATCAACATCCAAAACAAAAATATTCTTCAAAAATAAGAAATAATACAGATGCAACTACAGTTGCGGAAATGGTAAATACCTATCATGCAGTACAACATTCAGAGAGCTACTTAACATCACAATGTTGTTAGAATCTTTCCCCATAATATTTAACGACTAATATAAATAAAAAGTATACTTTGTAGAACACAAATGAGCAAGGCTATCATCAATGTTTTAGGATATAAATCCAGAAGGTCAATTCTTGACGATTTGAAAGATGTGCAAACATATGCAATTCTAACAGATGCATCTAATAAGGAGATATCAAAACATTTCCCTTGATCCTCCCCTATTTCAACAAAATTAATGTCATTTCAATAAAACTATTAAAAAAATTTTCTCCGGATATGAAATATCTAAAGACATAGCTAACCATATATAATGGTAAATATGACAGATTTGGCATTACCAATGAATTGCATGGCAGCTTTCTGATCTGATATTTCTTCAGTGAATTTGGCAAAAACCAGAGTGTATTTACAGAATTGAGTCAGCATAATGTTGGTTGACAGGTTCCTCCTAATACGCGCCATCGTAGAATTTTAAAATTTTACAAACCTTTAAAAAATAAATAGATTATAAAAGCTGTCCTAATATTTTCAAAAAAAATTTCAAAAATATATGGCAGAAGTATATTTAGGAATTTTACATATAGGAAATCTACTATATGCTGTTAATATGTAGTTGCAATCAGAAGAATATAATTTAATAAAGGTTCACTAAATTATGCTGCAGAAATACCAAAGTAAGAATATTATTACTATTATTGGATAATTATTAATAAGATTTAATATGATGTCATGTTTGAGGAGATTGTAATGCTTCTTTATTTTTATGATTTGCCAAAATATTAATTTTACAATGTAAAAAATAAATTTATTTGATTTTATGCAAATGTATAAATAAGATTTTATAAAATATAGAAAGTCAAATAGTTATAGTTAATTATATTTTATTTGAGATTTAAATAATGGAACTAAACGTTTACCGTCGTTATTAAAATATTTATAAAATTCCTGGCATGACATTTTATAATTTTGTTTAACCATTAACTCGGCTTCTAATGTTGTTAAAGCAATTCGATTTCTCTCCTTTCTCCAGGCAGTCCTCATCAGGCTAAAAATGCTCTCCGATGAGGCATTAGAATGAGGTAAGGAAAAAACTTACTCGCAAATTTTTCCAAGCATGGGGATTTATCGTTATTACGAAAAAATTCCACCCATTTCTCCTCTGCTTTTAGACCATCTAACTTTAAGTATTCTGGCGAATCATAAAAAATGGAAAAAATTACAATCTCTTCAAACAAGGCTTCAATGTCTACCGGTAATTTTAATATATTTATTAAATTACAAAAACCATCAAATGATGGTTTCTGTTCCAAGGTCATAATATTTATACACTTGTAAATAGAGTTATTAAAATCAAATCTTGATTGTAAATATTCCAAAATTGCCTTAATAAAAATATTTGCTTCATTTAAAAATACGTTAATTATAGTAATATTTGAACATTTTAATATGATATTTTTAGCAATATCGCCATAAAATTTATTATCTATTTTTAACTGTAGAGATGAACAGAGCTGTAGCATGATTTTGTGAACCTTTATCAATAAAGAATCTTCTGATTGCAACTGAATATTAACTACATGAAGTAGATTTCCTACATGTGAAACTAATCCCAAATATGCTTCTGACATTTCATCCTCGAAAAAATTTTTCAAAATTTTAGGACAGCTTTTAAAATCTTTATTTAAGAAGTATTTCTTTAAGGGTTCGTAAAATTTTAAAATTCTCTCGATGGCTGGTATTAATGATAACTACCTGATAGGTACATATCGCAACAACTCACACCATTCCAAATCAGACCACTCCACCAATTCTTTTAATTCAGTGACTCTTTCAGTTGATGAACTAAATTCGTTAAAACATTTCATCACAATTACTTCGACATCTACAGATAGTACATTCATTGCCTTCTTGCAAGAATTATGCAGTATATGGCATATACAAAATTGATTTAAATCGAAATTTTGTAAATTTAAAATAAAGTAAAAAATTATTTAAAAAGTATGCCCTGTGAATATATTCTTGCAAAGTTATATTAAATATCTATTAATTTGGCCAGAACAGCCATTTGAAATCATTTATTCTGAAAATTTTATCAATGTTTAGTGCTTAATATATTATTTTAATTTTACAGTAAGATAAAATTATTAGCAAAATAGAACATTTTATTATTTAAATCTGTTTGGTATATGGGATATAATATCCACTTCTAAAAGTTCTATTCTTCTAACTCAAAAATTTTGAAAATGTCGAGTGGAGCACTGCAATTCTAGATAACGATATAAAATATATTAAGTAATTTAAAATATATTTAAAATAATTATACATACTGTTCTAACTTCTATTCTTTCTAACACAAAAATTTTGAAAATGTCGAGTGGAGAATTGAAGAATTTTATAAAAAATATATTTTAGAGAGGAAAAATAAAATAAAAGAACTAGATATATTTTTCGAATAAATATTTAAAATTTATTTTAAAAATATAAAAATAATCAAATACTGTCTCTCAAAATTATTATTTATATATTAAAAACATTAAAATGCTAAAAAAAAAATTGTGGGAGAAATTAAAAAATTGTGGGAGCTTTCTAATTGTTGGAGTGAGATGTATGTGGGTAAACTAAAAAATTGTGGGAGACTCCCACTGATGGGGGGAGACATGGCAACCCTGGTCCCAACAAATTAGTTTAGAAGTAATATAAATAAAATTTTAAAAAACTTCATATATAAATAAAACTAAAGATTTTTTTTATAAAAATGGATAACAAATAGATAATTTATTTAAATTTCTAAATTAATTTTTTTTATTGTTTGGGCCACTCCTGGAGGTACTGCAATACCAGGTTGACCCTTAGGGGAGGGATGAGCAAGCCCAGAGCACCTCCCCAAAATTTCCAAAAATGAGTTTAATATACTGGTCCCCATTAGGGGACGTACCAGATATTAAGCTGATAAGAACAGATACTACACTTTGATCTTAGCCAAGAGGCCGAGAAGCGATAACTTTTATTGCAGAAACCCATCTCCAATATATGTCATTTTTATTTATCCTAGAATCTAGTTGCATTTGAGATTTTTATGAAATAAAATACTTCGATCGATATTCTATATTATGAGTTGAATTTTATCCTAAAAATATTTATTTTATAATTTTGAATCGCTTAAACCGGTTACTATTCTATTAATAAATAATTTTTATAGCACAATATAACCTTTTTAAAAACGAACACCATCTATTTTACATTTATTTATCGATAAATTATTATTGATGAACTAGGAACACTTGTAAAAATAAATAGGATTAATTTTTAATAAATTAATTATATATTAATATTTTAGATAATATTTTTTGGGCTATTGTTATTTTTATTTATAAATCCCATTAAAAATAACTATATTTGCCATTTTAGTAGTTCAAAAATAATATATTTCAATATTTTGCCGATAATATTAGTCTTTTATGGTGGTTAAACTATATATCATTTTGGTTCTTTATATAAATGGTTTTTGAATATATTATTATAAAATTTATATTTATATACTGATTAATGATATAAAAATATGATAATAACCAAACTCAAGGAAACAGCAACTCAATTTTTTTTTAACTGGATGTTATATATAATGCTAAACAAGTAGGATTAAAGGTTAGAAAGATATGGGTTAGGCTTATTAAGGGTTGGTGAGGTATGGGTTAGGGACGAGATATATTTTAGAGAGTTTTAATAAATTTTTATCATTTTATACAAATAATATCTGACAGATCATGTGATTAAAATTAATTTCCTCGAACTAGACCTAGTCATGAAAATAGAAACTTCAAAACAAATCGAATGTGTCAAACCAAAATTTACGGTTTATAGATATGAAAATGATTTTTTATATTAAATTATGACTTGATTATACAAGGTTAATGTTAAAAGATCATTTGAATCATATGTCTTAAGAGTATCTGCCCTGCAAATAATTTTTTTATTCACACTAGAAAAGAGTCCAAATATTATAATTCTACCATTATAGAATTAAAATTATTTTGACTTTATGGAAAGTATATTATTTTGATTAGCCCTTCATATAATATATCTACACTTAATTGATTAATAATATATTGTAAAATGTATCTTATGCAATATAATGATTCCATGTAATAACTATAAAAATAATAAATATGGATTTATGTTATTTATCATAATTTAATTAAAACCATAAAGCTATGCCTTATAATTTAGAGTAAAAGATATATTTGGAAATATGGTTATGAAGGCTGGTATGAGTTTCTAAGGAGAATATTAAATTATAAGAAATAAATATTTAATTTTATTAAACATTTCATTTTGGTTGAGAAAATTTTGATTAATTTTGGAACTCATTATTAAACTGCTTAAAATTCAATAATATTTTCTTAAAAAAAATAGTGCATGTTTAAAAGATTCTTTTTGGTCGAAATTTAAAATCTCTAGAGATTATATTATATATAATGAAAAAATTGTCATTCTTTTGTTAAAAAAATATTTTATTTTTTGATCTTCAAAATAATTTTTATAAAAAAAGTTTTTTAAAATTAGTAATAAAAATGATTATTTTAAAGTTGTTTAGACAAAATTTTAATATGATGTTATATATTATCTATAATAATAGATTTACCTTTATGACTTTTTTGTTCTATTGTAATAGCATTGGCTATTTACAATAGTTAATTTCATAGCCATGTTAACAATTGATTTAAATAATATTGGATAATTGCTTATTCATTTGTCCTAATCATCTCTGTTTTTGTGTAGCTCTGCAACCAAAATAAATTTCTTCTTGATAAATTTTCTCTAATTTGTTGTCTAATATAAATTAAAGATATAATGATTTTCTGTTATAATACTTATTTTAATCAAGTTATCAATTCTGATTTGCTAGACAGGACATCAATAAGCTGTACTGCTCTTAATGATGTTTACCTATCAATGAAAGTACATGTACAAGAACAAATTTACTCAGAGCCAAAATTGCTTAATTACATTTGATATATGGACAGATCAATACAGAAGAAGAAACTACATTTAATAAATGATAATTTTGAAATGATTTACTTTACTTTAGCAACTCATTATATAACCCAAAAACACACAGGTGAGACTATTCTAACTGAGATTGATTAAATAGAAGAGGAATTTAATTTTTTAAAAAAATACAAATGGTCAAAGATTCTGAGCCTAATGTTAGAAAATGTGTTCAATTAGGTGATTGTGAACACCACATATGTTTGGGTTGTGGTTTACATAATCTGATTACAGTAGATGGTATTAAAATGGTACTCTTTGTTAAAAATCTGATCTAAAAAATTAGAGAAATTATTACTGTTCAAATATAAAACTGCAGAGTTGAATTCGAGGCAGATCAAAGAAGATGCCTTGATACAATAGAAATAGATCTTAAATCAGACATATTATATCTTTATAGCAATGTTACATACCCAGATACTCTTTTTCAAATTGGCAATTCTAATGAGGATAATAGCAATAATACCACGCATGTGAAAACCTTAAAATTAAATGTCCCAACCAGGTGGCATAGTATAATAATTATGCTAGAAAGTATATCTGGAATAAATAAGAATTTAATTAATAATGCTTTGAAAAGAATTGAAACACTTTCTCAAATTATCAAACTATGAATGTAATCTGGTAGAAGAACTATTGGCATTTCCAAATTTAAAGAAACTATCGAATTTCTTTCAGTACCAAAAGGGCCTACTTTAAACTTGGCGTTATCATTTCATTTAAGAAAAATATGCTAAAAAAACTTGCATTACGATTTATGGTTTGTGATCTGCAGGTAATAATATATAAGTATATTCATTTATTTTTTATTTAAAATTATATAGGTATTAGCTTCTCTTTTAGATCCAAGATTTCAAAAATTGACAATTGTGTCAGTATATAATAGAGCAAAATTATTCAGCTTTAGAATTTATAATAAAACATTTTAAACTTATAGAAAATTATGATATTCAAATAGTAAATATAGCAATTGAGGATCAAGAGGGATTATAAAATTCAAGTTATTTGACAAAATTGGCAAATAAACATTCAACAAATATAAATTATGATTCCACATTAGGCGACTAGAACAAGAATGCCACATTTTTCTTGGAAAACTACATTCACAATATGGACGTTTTAAATTTTTGGAGAGAAAAGAAGAGGCTTCCCAATCTATCCAGGCTCGCCATAAAAATTATTTGCATTCCGGCGACTAGCATACCTGGTGAAAGAGTTTACCGCTGGATGACATAAAATTCAAGGAGATCATCATTATGTTCCAAAAATTTTAATAAATAATATTTATATATGATAATTATAAAACTAAAGATTTTGGATTTATAACTAGTTTTCTATTGAATAAATATTTAAAAAATATGCCGAGATATCTGTAGAGTAGTGAATATTTATTTTATATTTTTTTAAAATTATTAAGCAATTAAAAAATTATGTTATAAAAATTTATAATGCGCCGATTTTGTAGACGGGCCGTCGATTAGATTTTTGAAAATTGCCGACCGCCATAAGTTTCGTCGGCGCACAGGTCTACATAAAGTTTTATACACGCTCATGCTAAATTATGATGCCTGAATTAAATTTTTGAGCGATGTTATTGGTGACTTATTAATGATGGGGTTATTCTTACTTTTAATCGTAGATTTGACGAGGTCTAAAACATTTTTGATACTTTGCGAGCAGTCGAATATGACGAAGTAACCTGCTATTACAAGAAAAATATTACGAGAATTGGTTGGAAAAGGAAGTACTTAACACGAGTAGTAAGGAAGAAACTTTTATCATAATAAATTGTTAAATACAATTTTTAAAATTTCAATATATATTTATTTTAATTTGCTCATTATTCAGCCTATATTATTTATATTTTATTTTTCTAATTATTACAATTTATTCTTGAAACACTTTAATTTTAAATCAAATTTTGTTAACTTTAATTAACCTTATTTAGTTTTGTAATATTTTAAAAACTATATTTTATTATGTAAATAATATTTTTTTGTAATTTCTTATATCATTCTAATACAAATAGCCATTTAAATTATTATTTAATATATAAAGCGATTTTAAAATGTAGATGATTATTATATACAAATTTAAGATCAAATAAGATCTTGATTTTTCTATAAAATTCTTAATAATAAATCGTCCATATTAGGTAAATACATAAAGCATAAACAACATTTTAATTATAAAATATATTTTTTTATATAAAATTATGATGATATTCATAACAGCGATTATGATTTATATAAAATTGCCTAGTCTTCATCTGAACTTTATAGCAAGGCGTCTTTTAAAATTTTTATTAGAGTCTTTTAAAATTCGAGAATTATTATTAACAGTTTTTTCTTTGAATTGATTTGCAATGTCCGCTAATATTCGATCATTGGCATTTAAGACACTGTATTGAGATTAGAGATCTGCAAAGTTAGGCCCGGCCCCTAATTCTATTTAATTTAATAGGGTTCGGGCCGGGCCTAATATTTTTCAAAAAAAATTTGGGCCGGCTCGGGTCGGACCTTGGTATTTTTTTTAAATATTTCTCAATTTTATATTGTATTTTTTATGTAAAATAAAAATATTTGATTTTATTTATTGAAACTAAACGACATATAACATATGTCTTTTATTTTGAGTAATTATAAAAATTAATTTCTATATTTAAATAAATTCGGACCGGGCCGGTAAATTTTTTTTAAAAAAATTTCGGGTTAGTGACGGGCCGGCAAAACATTTTTAAAAATATTTTGGGTCGGGCCGGGCCGGCAAAACTTTTTTAAAAAAATTTCGGGCCGGGCTTGAAAAATTAGGCCCGATGCAGATCACTAATTGAGATACCGTATGCTCATATGAGTCGTTTTGAATATAAGTTTCAGATTTTGAATCGAAATTGGAAGTTGGCCGAGATTGTGAATTTTCAAAAGTAACAAAAGTCATGATGTCTTTAGGC